TGCACTCCAGTCTGGGCGACAGAGTGAGACTCCAACTCAAAAAAAAAAAAAAAAGTTATTTGCATCTCCAGCTAGAAAGTCTAAGGGAGGTCATTCATTTATTCATCAGACTATTTTCCTCTGAAAGGATAGAATTAAGTCGTAGGAAAAGACTTTTGGGGTTGGGAAGACGTGGGGGATGTCTGGGGTCTTTATTTGTTTGCCCCTGCTATGGTTCTTCATCTCCTGCACTATCAATTTTCTTCTTGTCTTACTTGTCAAGAGATTCAGGCAGAGGCCAGGTAAGGTGGCTCTTGCCTGCAATCCCAGCACTTTGGGAGGCAAAGGCAAGAGGGTTGCCTGAGCCTAGGGTTCAAGACCAGCCTGGGCAGCTTGACGAGATCTCGTCTCTATAATTAATAAAAAATTAGCTGGGCATGGTGGTATGCACCTGCGTTCTAGCTACTTGGAAGGCTGAGGCAGAAGGACCACCTTAGCCCAGCAGGTCAAGGCTGCAGTGGCCATGAGTGTGCCACTGCACTCCAGCCTGGGTGACAGAGTGAGACTCCTACTCAAAAAAAAAGAAAGAAAGAGAGAGAGAAAAAGAGATTCAGGTATATGTGATTTATTTATTTATTTTTATTTTTTTGAGTTGGAGTCTCACTCTGTCGCCCAGACTGGAGTGCAGTGGCCGCTCCCGGCCACCGCCACCTCAACCTGCTGGTGTCCGGCGATCCTTCCGTCTCAGCCTTCCAAGTAGCTGGAACTATAGGTGCGTGCCACCACGCCCGGCTGATTTTTAATTTCTTGTAGAGATGAGGTCTCGCCAAGTTGCCCAGGCGGGTCTCGAACCCGTGGGCTCGGGCAGTCCACTTACCTCAGCCTCCCAAGGCGCGGGATTACAGGCTGAGCCACCGAACCCGGCGTGATTTATTGAAGGAAGGCTCTCAGGACAGAGGGTAGGATAGGGCAGAGGGGACTAACCCAGGATGTGGTCTCAGTGGAGACCAGCTACAGCCAGATTCCATGGAGAGCTCTGGAAACATGAAACTCTGGAAAAAGAAGCAGCTTCCATTCTGCCAGGGCAATTCTCTAGTCGAGGGGGCAACTGTGGAAACTTGTAACTTTCAATACTCATAGCAGTGACAGGATGGGTACACTGATCTAATATAAATGAAATCATCCTCTGGAGAGTGTTTGTTTTTTAAAGCTATACCATCATCATTGTACAAAACATCTAGTTTCTCTGCATCCTCACCAGCATTTTGTTTTATCCCAATTTATAACTTTTAGCTTTTCTAATGGGTGTGTAGTGATATCATGGTTTTATTTTTGTTTTTGTGAGATGAGGTCTCACTTTGTCTCTCAGGCTAGAGTGTAGTGGTGCAAACTCACTGTAGTCTTGAGCTCTTGTGCTCAAGCAATCCTCCTGCCTCAGCCTCCTGAATCACTGGGATTACAGGCATGCGCTACCATGTCCAGCTAATTTAAAAGACATTTTTTAGGCCTCAAGTTCCTGGCCTCAAATGATCCTCTCACCTCAGCCTCCTGAGTAGCTAGGATTACAGGCGCTAGCCATTGGTCTGGGCTCTCATCATGGTTTTAATGGGCGTTTCTTAGTGCCTAACGATGTTGAGCCTCTTTTCCTATGCCTGTTTGCCATCTATATAGCCTCTTTGGTCAAATGTCTGTCTGTATCTTTTGCCCATTTTTAATTAAAAAATTTTAAACTATTGAGTTCTGAGAGTTTATCTATTTTAGATATTAATCCCTTGTCAGAAATGGTGGTGGAGTAACTGGGCAAAAAAACGAACTTGACCTAGACCTCCTATCTTACACAAAATTACCTAAATGGCTTTTTCCGTGCTACCCAGAAAGGGATCTATACAGCATGGTTCTGAATTCCTATTATAACTTAAAGGGAAACTTTCACAATGTCCGGAGCTCCTGATGTCCGAATGAAATGAAGAAGGAGGATATCCTTAAATTCCTTGCAGCAGGAACCCACTTAGGTGGCCACCAACTTTGACTTCCAAATGGAACAGTACATCTGTAAAAGGAAGAGTGATAGCATTTACATTGTAAATCTGAAGAGGACCCAAGAGAAGCTTCTGATTGCAGCTTGGGCCATTGCTGCCATTGAAAACCCTGCTGATGTCAGTGTCATATGTTCCAGGAATACTGGCCAGTGGGTTGTGCTGAAGTTTGCTGTTGCCACTGGAGCCACTCCTATTGCTGGCCGCTCCACTCCTGGATCCTTCACCAACCAGATCCAGGCAGCCTTCTGGGAGTCCTGTCTGCTGGTGGTTACTGATCCCAGGGCTGACCACCAGCCTCTCACAGAGGCATCTTATGTTAACCTGCCCACCATTACTCTGTGTAACACAGAGTCTCCTCTGCGCTATGTGGACATTGCCATCCCATGCAACAAGGGAGCTCGCTCAGTGGGTCTGATGTGGTGGATGCTGACTCGGAAGTTCTGCACATGCGTGGCACCATCTCCCGTGAACACCCGTGGGAGGTTATGCCTGACTCTACTTCTACAGAGATCCCGAAGAGATTGAAAAGGAAGAGAGGCTGCTGCTGAAAAAGCTGTGACCAAGGAAGAATTTCAGGGTGAATGGACTGCTGCAGTTCACTGCAGGTGCCCTCTGTGCTAATTCAGCAGTTTCCTACTGAAGACTGGAGTGCTCAGCCTGCCACGGAAGACTGGTCTGCAGCTGCCACTGCTCAGGCCACTGAATGGGTAGGGACAACCACTGAGTGGTCTTAAGCTGTTCTTCCACAGGCTCTTAAGCAACATGGAAATAAGGTTGGTAGAAATTAAACATCAGTTTCTTTTTTTTTTCCTACCTTAAAAAATAATTTCTTTTTCTTTTTTTATTTTAAAGATGTGGGGTACAGTTCAGGGTTAAGTATACAAATGTTCATTATGCAGGTACACTTGTTGATGAGGTGTGCCCCCCTCCCCTGGCAGATTCCCACGACTGCCAATCCCGTCCCCCCCCCAAGCAGTTTCCCACTACTGCCAATCCTTTTCTTATAGTATTATGAAAATTGTTCCAGGTCTGCTTATGAGTGTGATACTCAGTTCTTTGTTTCTGTGACAGATCACTCAGTACTATAGACTCTAAGTCAATCCAAGTTGCTGTGCAGTTCATAATTTTGTCCTTTTTATGGCTGCATAATATTCCATCATGTATATGTACCATATTTTTTTTAAATCAAGTTCTCTTGTGATGGGCAGCATGGTTGGTTCCATATTTTTGCTATTATGAACAGTGCTGCAATAAACATACATATGCAGGTATCTTTTTCATAGAGTGATTTGAGTTCCTCCGGGTATATTCCCAAAGGTACAGGGTAGTGGAAGGTTGATTTTTAGATCTTTTAGGAATCGCCAAACTGTTTTCCACAGAGGTTGTATTCGTTACACTCCCACCAACGATGTAGAAGTGTTCCCTTTTCCCTGCATCCTCTCCAGCATCTGTTGTTTTTTGAGTTATTGATGATGGTCATCCTAACTGGAGTTAGGTGGCTCAGCGTAGTTTTAATTTGCATTCCTTTGATGACTAGTGAGGCTGAGCATCTTTTAATGTCTCTGTTGAGTGCTTGTATGTCTTCTTTTGAGAACTGTCTATTCATATATTTTGCCCACTTTGTAATGGGGCTGTTTGTTTTTTTCTTTTCGGCACATTTGAGTTCTTTGTAGATCCTAGATGTTAGGCCTTTGTCAGACATACAGTTGGCAAAATATTTTTTCCCAGTCTGTGGGCTATCTCCCTGCTCTCTTGACAGTTTCTTTGGCTTTGCAGAAGTTTGTCAGTTTGATGACGTCTATCTTATCTCTTATGGCATGGGCTCTTGGGGTTTTTTATCAGGAATTGGTTGCCAGTTCCAATATCCATAAGGGGGTCTCCTGTGTTTTCTAAGGTTCTTATAGTTTGAGGTTTTACATTTAGAGTTGATTTTTGTGTGTGGTGATAGGTAGGGGTCTTGTTTTAATCTTCTGCATGTGGTCAGCCAGTTTCCCCAGCACCATTTACTGAATAGGTTCGCCTCTCCCCAGTGGTTGGTGATGGAGGCTTTGTTGAAGATGAGTTGGTTGAGAAATTGAGGTTTGCTTCTGGAATCTCTATCCTGTTCCATTGGTCTATAAGCCTGTTCTTGTACCAATACCAGACTGTTTTGATTATTGTAGCTTTATAAAGTTTAAAGTCTGGGAGTGTGATACTTCTGGGGTTTTTTGTTTGTTTGTTTGTTTGTTTGTTTGTTTTGCTGAGGATTGTTTTGGCTATTTGCGGTTATTTATGTTTCTATATGAATTTCCGTATTGTCATTTCCAGGCCTGAGAAGAATGCTGCTGGTAATTTAATGGGTACTGCATTAAATCTGTAGATTGCCTTGGGTAGGATGGACATCTTAACAATGTTGATTCTTCCGGTCCATGAGCATGGAATATTTTTCCATTTGTTTGTGTCATCTTTGATTTCTTTGGGCAGTGTTTTGTAAAGGTCTTTAACTTCTCTGGTTAGGAAGATGCCAAGGTATTTCTTTTTTTAGTGGCTATTGTGAATGGGATTGTGCTTTTTTTTTTTTTAATTTGAGTTGGAGTCTCACTCCATTGCCCAGGCTTGAGTGCAGTGGCATGCTCACGGCTACCCCAGCGTCAACCTGCTGGGCTCCAGCGATCCTTCTGCCTCAGCCTTCCGTGTAGCCAGAACTACAGGTGTGGGCCACCACGCCCAGCTAATTTTTGATTTATTGTAGAGATGAGGTCTTGCCAAGTTGCTGGGGCTGGTTTCGAACCCACAGGCTCAGGCAATCCACTCACCTCGGCCTCCCAAAGTGCTGGGATTATAGCCTGAGCCACCGAGACCATCCGGAATTGTGCTTTTTATTTGGATTTCTATTTTAGACATCAGTTTCTAAATGATTCCACTTTTGGAAATATACCCAAAGGAACACAAATCACTCTACCAGAAAGACACCTGCACTATATGTTTGTTGCAACACTGTTCACAATAGCAAAAACATGGAGCAAAATACTGTGGAAACCAAAAAGGAGGTTCTTGTGTCTGCTTCCCTGTGCTGGATAATATTGAGGGAGTGGGGAACCATGGGCAGGGGAGAGGGAAGAGACACACCTAAGTGGGAAAAAAACAAAACACCCTCTGCCCTCAAACCATTGCAAATCTTTCTGTTATGGTGTGAGTCATGTTATAGTAAAGTTATTTACATCCTCAGCTAGAAAGTCGAAGTAATGTTATTTAGTCATCAGACTATTTTCCTCTGAGAGGACAGAACCAAGCCAGATGCCCGTTGAAGGTAGACTAAATAAAGAAAATGATATATATATATATATATACTATGGAATACTATGCAACCATAAAAGAACAAAGCCACGTACTTTGCAGCAACATGGATGCTGCTAGAGACCACATTCTAAGTGAACTATCACAGAAACAGAAAACTGAACCCTGCATGTTCTCACTTATAAGTGGGCACTAAATATTGGGCATACATGGGCCTGAAGATGAAAACAACAGATACTGGGCACTACAAAAGGAGGGAGGAAGGAAGGGGGGATAAGGGTACAAAACCACTAATTGAGTACCATGCCCACTGCTGGGGATGGGGGAGGGCTCATCAGAAACCCAAACCTCAACTTCATGCAATTTACTTGTGTAACAAATCCTCACAAGTACCCCATGATTCTAAATAAACAAACAAAAAACCCTCACAAAAATTGTCCAAATAGATTATAGATTTAAATGTAAAATGTAAAGCTATACAACATTAAGAAGAACATGTAGAGAAAAGAACAGAATTAAAGGACTCTTCCATTGAAAAAATAAAATTTTTGAAAAAGAGTTAAATGAGTCTTTTTTAAAATTATTTTTTGGACCCAGATTTTCTTTTTTTTAATTATAAAGATGTGGGGTACATTTCAGGGTTAGGTATACAAACGTTGATTATGCAGGTACCCTTGTTGATGAGGTGTGCCCC